TGCCCCTCACTCATGAAGGTTTCTTCAGAGCCACAAAACTAGGGCTGAGGTAATATCCCAGTCCATAACAATACACCATAAAACTAGTCTCTTTGCAAATGGGTCAACCCACCTTTTCAAGCCTATAGCCACTTTCATTTCTTAAGGGACAGCTCTTTTCCTACTGTCCCTTACTTTCCTTTGTTAGGGAAATGGCTTGATCTTTGTCAGCACTGCGCTCCCTTTTATTTTCTCTTACTTTTCCATTAAAGAATTTTCCTGTAAATGCCTCAGTTTGTACTTCCACAATTACTGAAACAAGGAATGACCCTACATAGTGTGACCTCAGGAACTGTGAAGGTGTGAGTGCTGGCTGATCCCTCTTCCCACACAAATAAACTATGGATGGCCATTGTGACACAAACTCCAAAACACTATTAATTAGAACTATTTCTCGCCAAAAGCAAAATACCAAAAACATAATCTTAGAGCCATTGGGATTGCCTTCAGAATTGTGGTTGGAAATTCTATAATTTACAGCACTCTGGCAGATTCTAGACCTAATTAAATACTTATTATAAATTAAACAGAAAGGCTAATTACTCTCTGGAGAAGCCTCATTATAAATATAACTGATAACTCTCCACACAAACAGGCAATTATAATTTTATAAAATTAAATCTTCACTTCTTTATTTACATACAGCCATTTCCTTTTCTGTATTAAAAAAGAAAACTTGCAAGAGCTGTACAGCTTTAACTTTTACTGAGTCTACTTTAATAGCAGAGCCAATGCTTTACTAGAGTTTTGTTTAATAAGCAAAAAATTATATTTAATAGACTTTTTAATACCATTATAATCATAGATACCAATGTAGTTTGTTTTCTCTCAGTGGTAGTCTACCTACTAAAGAAATCAAAAGTACACTTTACATTTATATGTGGCTTGAAAATGAAGCACCCCGTAACTCCTAAGAATAAAATGTAGCTGGAAAAGTCAATGAGTACACTGTGAACGAAGGGTCTCAGTTTCAGTTTTAACACACTGCCTCCAGACAGGGCCACTGACTTTGAAAAAGCCTTTTAATTTTTTCAAATGTTTCACCTGTAAAGTTTATTTTCAATCATTTGATAAGTACTGAAGGCCTATGAAACATGAGATTTGGTGACAACAAGAATAGGACAGATAAGATCTCCATCACACTGAAAGGAAGAAGCAATTTTAAGAGTAGAGCGGGTGACACTGTAGGTGCAAATCTGGCTGTACAAATGTATGAAGCACCCAGGATGCCTCTCGGCCCAGTCTGTCACTGTTGCACTGAATAACCCCTTCAAAGGTCTGCACCCTTCTGTCCCCACCCCTATTCTCCTCCCAGGCACTGGTCTGTTTTTCCTGGCACACTTGTGTGCTCTCTCCAGCTGATGCCTGCATTACAATCAAAACAAGTCTTTGACGTGGAAATCTGCTTATATGCATGGGGCTCTCTTTATGCCCTACCAAATCATTGCTTTCAGATGGCCTACCTGGGTCTGCTTTGCATGGCTTATCTAGCCCCCACCTACCTTTGCAGCCTCTCCTCTCTCCATGCCACTGATCTCACAGTCCCTGGGCACATCAAGTCCTTTTCTGCCCAGGGACTTTGATTATGCTACCCCTCCTTCCTCATTAATAAGAAGTCCTCTAACCCTTTCATACTTGGTTCAGGTTGTAGCCTCAAGGAAAACTTCGATTATAAAAGTGCTACTGTGATGTGCTTCATTTTCAAGCCACATATAAATGTAGATTGTACTTTTGTGCTACTGTGAGTGCTACTGTCCTCTACAGAACAGAGGAGGTTGTGAGGAACCCACAGGATTAGATGTCAGGAAAAGGTATTCATAAACTGTGTTTTTAAGACATAATAAAAGGCCTGTTGATAGAAAGCTGCCCAGGCAGCTGTGAAGTGTAAATATAAGACAATTCTGTATGGAAGTAAGAACTAAGAATCTAGCTAGACCTTTCTCTATATCCCCAGGGCCCTTAACATAATTGAGAAGACCTACGTGCTGACTATATCTGAACCAAAGTGAATGTATTCTACATAGTATTCTCTAAAAACAAATTTAGTGACTACCAGATTTGGAAAAATGTGCTCATCACAACTGATTTTTATGTAATTAAAGGGGATATGTTATAAAATGAATATTGTTCTGATTGCCAAAATTTGGAGAAATTTCCTGTTTTGTTTGCTGTCCTCTCCCCATAATGCTGACAACAAAGAGTAATTGTACACAACAGACTGTCACTGATATTTTAGTGTTTGAGACCCCTAAAAATATAACCTAAGAATTGAGAGTATTTTCATATTCAAATCATTTGCTAAAAAAAAAAGCTACACCCCCACAAATAAATGTACTGAATGTTAGACAAAGCTTGCTTTTAGATTTTTAAATGAAAATTTTATATTGAGCACCAATCAGCCAAATCTTGCAATTTTTCTCATCTCAAGAGAAAGTAGCATTCTGTAATTTTAAAAGCCTAAAAATAAGGCCTTTGGAGCTGACAATCTATGATACTGGAGAGGATGGTGAGCACATTTCCCCACTGCTGTACAGAGATGACAGGACTGCCCCAGTACAGTATGTATCAGAACAGTGACAGCTGTGAGCTTATCTGCCACTCAGAGCTTCCTCTCTAAATAAAAGGAATCAGGGATCCTTGGAAAAAATGGTTGATTCAGGGCTGGGGCATGGAAAATCTAAGATGAGCCTAGAACACTGATGACAAACCTTTTAGAGCTTTTAATGATATAACAGCCTACTGTGGCACATGTGCCATAAGTTCCCACCACTTGCTTAGAACATTTTGCGATTCCAGAAGAAAATGCTAAAAAAAACGACAGTTGGGAGCATGACAAAAGAATATAGGAACCACCTAAAGGAGCCCTCCTGACCAAAGCCAGAACACTCTGAGCAGTAGAATAAATACTAATAGGATTCCATATTAATTTGTACAATAAAGTGAAGACCCATGAGTCCATCTGATATTAAAAATGGAGGATAAACGGCAGGTCTTCCTTAGAATTTCAATTAATAAATGTAGAAAAGGAAAACAGAAAAATTACAATGGGCAACAAATACCATAACACTCAGACAAGATATGCCAGAGGATGGTAAAACTAGTGGGGGAAATGAGGCAAAATTTGTGTAGAGAATTTTATCTCCTCTAAAACAGAGAAGGGCAGTTATCTTTACAGTGGAAAAACCCAGCAGTCACACTGTAGCACCTTACCACCTGGACCAGGATGAGTCACAACCCACTAATGTGCTCACTGAGGACACAAGATCTTTTCTGCAGTATTTCTGCCAAAAATGCATGACTTCATTCTAGTTGTGAAAGAAATCAGCAAAACCACCTTGAGAACACTGTACAAAATAACTAATGAATCAAAAGTGTCAAAGTCATAAAGAAAAAAACCTAAGGAACAGGTTGGAGGAGACAGATGCTGAAAGAGAAAATAGGGTAGTACAAAAACCAGTAGAATTCAGATAAGGTTAGTAATTCAGTTTATAGTATTATACTGTATTTAACTTCCTTGTTTTGATTATACTATTTTATTATGGTTAGAAAAGGTGTTACCATAAGTAACTAGGTCAGTTATATATAGGAAATCTCGGCAATACTTTTTGCAACTTTTAAGTCTAAAATTAGTTCAAAATGAAGCTTTTAAAGAAATTACATGAACATGGCAACTTAAATGTCTCTACCACTCATTCATTAGTATGGCAAACACATGTGGTTGGTTTGCTCCTACTGTCTGGCACACTGCCCATGCTCCCCGCTCTCAGAGAATGGAGGTAGGTAGTCAGAGGTGCAGAGGAGGGTGCGACATACAACCTGCCAGGAGAGAGGAGCACATATTACAAGGACTTCTTAACTCTTGTTCCTGATAACAGGGAAGAAAACTCATATTCTATTTCCATATCCCATAAAGATAATTCTCAAGTGAAGAAACAAAGAAAAATATGAGGTGAGGGATAAGAATTGGGGAACAGGAGGGAGGAACAAACAACATTCATTTGCTGAGAAGATTCCTTAGCGTTTTTATGTAGATGATGTAAAGACTATTCATTTGGGAAAATGGCTGAACATCTTCACAATGCATTAACTGAGTCAATTAATTTAAACATTCCTTAGTCTAGTCTTTTTTTGTTTGTTTGTTTGTTTTTTTAAGACAGGGTCTCATTATGTAGTTGAGACTGACCTGGAAGTCACTATGTAGCCCAGGCTGGTCTCGAACTCACAGAGATCCTCCTGCCTCAGCCTCCAGGAGTGCTGGGATTATAGGTGAGTGCCACCATGCCCAGCTTAGTCTTTCTCTTAAAATTCTTACAATAATAAAACAATCTCATCTATAAAAAGTCACTTTCACCTTAAGTACATCTTTCAAGCCTCATTACTCCATACTTATAAAGTAATTATAAGACTTTCGCAGAAAGGACTTTTACTTCCACTTTTTTTTTAAGATTCACACTGATCCCCCACCTTCTTGAATTTTGTGATAAGTTGCTCAGGCTGGGCTTAGTTTGTGATCTTCCTGCCTCATCCTTCTAAAGTTCTGGGGTTACAGGTGTGGATCATCACATCTAGTACTTTCACTCTCACTTTAACATTCTCTCAGCATATAATGAACATAATGTACAACAAGTATTCCTGAGTATTCCAACAGGCACGTGAAATCCAGAGCACTCTGAGCAGGACAACCTGGGAAGATGAAATAACAGGAGCACTGGAAGAGGAGGGAGAGGAAGTCTCAGTTCTGCAAATAAATGGTGCCTGGATCCCAAATGAATTCTTTAACTCTGTGAACTTTAATTACCTTGCCTATAATGTGGTAAAAACATCACTTAACTCATAGTACTATAAAGATTACATCAGCTAACTATACACAAATGCTTAGCCTATAGCACATTACTAAAACAGTATCAGTTTCTTTTGTACTTCTCCATTTTACTGTGCACTGGTGTTCTCTGAAAACATACCGATTGAAGTTAATGTCAGGGTAACTAGAATACTCTGACTTCATCTTAGCATTCCGCCGGGGAAATGTGCAGAAGAACGCATTAGCTAAAAGACTGGCAATCTGTTCCTGTGACATTGTGATGGAATGATTCATCTTCTGCTTCAGGAGAGGTATTGGCTGATGGAGGAAACAAAAACACAGACAAGAGCAATAATTAGTTTAGCAATTTTGAAAGCACAGGCTTCAAATTGCATTTGCTAAATTATGGCAGGAATAATTCTGAGCCACTCTTGAATCCTTAAATCAGCAACATTGTTAAAGACAGGGTAGCTTATCAGGGACAATTGGAAAAAGGTACTTATTTGACAAACTGCAGATTTCTAACCAATAATTATGATAGTGAGAACCCAAAACATTACTCATTAGCAAGTAAGTCGAAAAAAATTATCCATGTAATGACAAATTAAAACCAAAGACAAAACAGAAAAATGCAATAATTGAGTTTAGTTATTATTGCTTATGTTAAATTCTACTATTAAATATTAGAAATTGTCAGATGAGCAATTTTTCTTAGTCCTAAATAAAACGATCTAAGGAAAATAATTCAATAAATAAGTCTTCCTTTTTATCTTAATCACATTGCATATGGACGATTTATGAGACTCAAATCTAATTTTATTAAAGCAATTTAGCAGAATATGTGAAAACCATCATAGACACATGGATAACTTGTAACAGGCAGGCATTTTCTACATAATCAAACATCTCAAGTTAAGGAAGATGCTGGGTATTTTTTTCTTCAAATCCTTTATGTCTAAAATGTCTTCTATTTGTAACAAACTCAAATTCACTGACCTTTCACTGTTAGTATAATCCATAGGACCTGAGTATTGTATGGTGAGTCTTATTCTGCTTTAAATGTCAAAGGTATGTTTTTAAGGATGTGTTTGTTGGTTGGTAAAACCAAAGACACACTGCCAATTTACCAATAGATGTTAGGTGTTCGCTATAATAGAGATGTTTTTCTTTCTCTTTCAGAAAAACCCAGAATGAAGTGTGTCAATTATTTGTACAGATCTCAAACCAGTTGTCTAGGCTCATCATTTTCCAGAAATCAACACACAAAGTGAGCCTGAGGACAGACAGGCAAGACAAATCAAAATCACAATTTTTTTAAGAAACATGGAACACACATCATTGCTAGAATGTTTGCTAGAATGAAGAAAAGGTTAATCTTGCAATTTTAACTATTTCTCTTGAAAAATGCACAAGTAAATGACAACAACACAACAAAAGATAAAGAATGTACTTTCACTATGGTCTCCAAAATACTCCCTGCTTTTAGGCCTTGCTAATTACCATTTCTAAGAAGAAACAGAGAACTCATATTGATCCCCATTTTCCATCCTAAGCATTTATTCACAACTCAGCAATGAGTTTAGACAAGGTAACAGTATTCATGGCTAAAAGCAAACTATTACCTGTTTTAATGAGAAATGAAACTTTGACTACCATTAACCACATTAGCCAGAAAAATGATTTTAAAAATTTATACAGACTATTTTAGGCTTAATGGTCTTAAAACATGAGCATTTCTCTTACCCAAATAAACAAAGAGTATAATTTTTAACCCAATAAATGATTTCTGCTGTCTTGGTGAAGAGAGATGCCTAAAAATAAATAGGGAAAAGAGAAAATATATATCTTATTGGCAAACACTCAGTTAGACAAAACAGTAAGCTGGTCACTATGATCCAAGATATTTTAAAACATTCCTTCAAAGAGTTTTTTTTCTTTGATTTTTCTTTTTATAAATCTAAAATTTACTTTTTAGATTTGGCCTAGAGTAATTTAATGTGGTAAATCATTAAATACCAATGTGTACAGTTTAACTTGCCAAAAACATATTTTGATCTCAAGTTACATCTTAATTTTCATAGAAGAGATTGGCTTTTGGCAGAGCACAAAACTGAGATGGAAAATGTCTTCCCAGTAGTAATACACTAATGAAAGAATAAAGTTGCACTAAGCCAGGATAAAAAGCTGAGAGGCTAGGAATCTGACTTGATTCTACTAAGCAATTTATGATAGCTTACTAATTTATAAGCTTTTGAATAATAAGTATCTCACTGAATAAAATAAGGAAACTTTCTCTCCTAGCAGGAGAGGATGGGAGGGTTTAATGAGCCAAGTCAAAAGGCTAGATCCTGTTGATCATGAATTACACATTGAATTAAAAAAGCATTTAACTAAGCACCACACAGTATCTAAACACACAGAGATCTCCTCTCAAAAGGAACATAATCTAGTGGGAGAAAATTTGTAAAGATATAAGTTAAAAGCAGCATGGGAAATATGACACAGTGATAAAGCTTCCCTAGGGGAAGCAGGGAAGGCTTCACAAATGGAAGCAATAAAAGAAGAACTAGACAGTAGGAAGACATTTTACTAGGCAAGGAAAGGAGAGAAGGGAAAAAGAATGAGTATATAACATAAGCTATTCATTATTTGTTTAAGTAACCGCCAAAAGAAAGGTGCTTTTAAATATATTTTATGTCTAATAGTAAAATTTATTTTAGATGTAATGCATTACTGGGATGAAATTAAAGTTACAAATCATCAGAAACATCATGGTAAGAAACTAACAAATGCGGCCACTGGTTCTCAGCTGACAGTGGTAGGGCCCCATACAAGGTGTCTGACACATGCAGGGATTCGGTGCCCCAATGACTGTAGTTATGGTTTAGAGAATGTGCAAGAGTACAGCCATTCTGTATCTTGAGAAATTGTTATACACGAAATGTCCCAAGAGCTCCTGGGGAGCAACAGTGCTAGCAGAGCCCTGGTTAGCATCCATGCAGTAAGGGGCTGGTCTTAAAATAAAAAACGGGCAAATACAAACAGCACAGGAAGAAAATGAAGACCAAAACAACCTTAAGGAAGTCTGAAAATATGTTCACAAATTCTTTGATACTTCTCCCCTTAAAAGTGGAGTCTAATTCCCTGCTGCTTGGGTCTGAACTACATTTAGTGACTGGCTTCTACTTAGTAGAAAGAGTGCAAATGACACTGGGGAGCTTGAGAAATTCAGTCACAAAAGGCACTGTAGCATGTGCTGTTTGAGAGCAGCAGCTATGCAGGCCTTCCAGCCCTGCCACGCCTTTGGAGAAGCTTGGCCCTTACCCACACCATGACTACAACCACAGGACAGGGGAGCCACGACTTCCTGAGCTAAGCTGTTCCCAAATGCATGGCCAACAACTGTGAGATTATACATGTTAATACCTTTAAGACTAAATTTTGATGTAATTTGTTATGTAGCAATCTATAATTAGTGGTTCTACACCAAATGAAGTCATATTAGATCTTTTCTTTTAGTCTTAAGAAAGTACTACAAATTCATTTGTTATAATAATGTATCACTTTGGAAGAGTGAAAAAGAAGTAGAGAGCAGTAAGCCCTTTTAAAAATATAATATTGCAAATCCATTAATATGCTTTGAAATGACTACTTTTTAACAAAAAGATAGATTGTTTCCATGAGAAGAAAGAAGTCTGAGTAAGCACACTTCAATAGTGTCCGTCAAGGAAAGCTCAAAAATTGAATGATGCATTTTTAATGTCCTTTTGTAGCATCCTCTCTAACCTCTAACCTTTAACTTAAGATAGAAACATTACGATATTTTTTGGCAAATCTGCCTTCCACCCTTCTCTTTGACCCAAGTGCAAGGCTCAAGTGTGAGCAGAGTATGTCAACTCACTAACCTGGGTGCAAATACTGGGCAGGCAAAGTGCAGCCTTCACCATGTCAGGCAGAATGGACTGACAGAGATGCTGGGCTTCTGCTTCCTCAAGTACCTGGAAACCAAGAGATACACTACATGAATAATGATAAACCACGTTTGTTATGAAATTAAATTATGAATCCATGTCTCACAGAGTCCCATCGTAATGCTAATGATCATCACCACTAAACACAAGTGAAAACAAATCAACAGGTGAGCCACACACTTTCAAATTCATTTGTAAATATATACAATTCACCATAATGCCATGAAAACAAATCATGTAACCCAGAGTCAAATATCTCTCACACACATGTGCACAATAAAATATAATACTTATAAATGAAAAACAGTGCATTTGGCCCTTTGTTATGCCTAACAAAAACTGCTAGACAACCGAAGACTCTCTGAAGCCCTCAAGGACCCATTTAACTTCCACAATTTATGACTTAAATCACCAGAAAAGCTATCCTACTACTTCAGAGCATACTGTATGTACCAAATTTAACCTGCCAGGCAGGAAACAGTGAAATTTCTTATAACCTTAGAATGTTTCCTTTCTTGGCACCCTAGGGAAGTTAAAAACACAATTCTCATATCAAAATTTGAAGCACAACCAAGATGGCATTGACAGTTCATTTTAGTCTTTTGTAAGTTCTAACTTCTACTACCTGGTGAACATAGAATTATTATTAATTCTGGAGAAAACAAAAGTTATACAAGACAGAAAAAGCCCAGACAAAAAGGGTTACAACATCTTCTTGACAAAACAGAATAGTGATAAAACTAAAACGAACAAGACAACTACACTGGGAAAACAAGGGGCACAAATAATGGTGATGTCTGTGAGCAACAAGGAAGTTGTAGCTCCTCAAGAAGGAATTGGAAGCCAGCACATCAAAAAGGGCGAAGAGCTTAGAAAAAGTGGCTGCCTCTTCAGAGCAGACCTCTGTACCTTTGACAAAAACAAAAATTAAGCTTAAAAAAAGTCATTCATAGAAGGCATTCTATTTTAGATGTACAAAATAAATTGCTTTCCAACATCTGAAAATGCATAAAATGTATTCACACATTTGTTTAACATACTCAAATTCTTCCTGCTTAGAATTTATCCTTTGGCTTTTTAGAACTTATTTGTAGTAATTATACCTCCAAAGGACTCTACAATAATGGTGCAGAGGAGTTCAGTGTACATTTCACCCATTTTCCTCAGTGATGACGTGTGTATATTTACACAACCACCAAAATCAAGACCCTACAGAACTGTTTGATTCCAGCAAAGTCTCCAAATCCCCATTTAAACTCACACTTACCTTTCCTTCTACTGTACCTAGCCTCTAGCAATAATCAATCTGTTTTCCATCTCTGTAATTGTGTCATATACAAATTCATCCAAGTGGGCTGGGGTTTTAGCTCAGTGGTTCCATTGCTTGCTTTGTAAGCACAAGGACCCAAGTTTGATCCCCAGTAGCAAAAAAGAAAAAAGCAAAACAAAACAAACCAAACCAAATTCATCCAAGTTTTAGCTATTACAAACTGTGCTGCTATAAACATAGGTGCACATATATCACTGTGATATGATTCTTTTAATTCTTTTGGAAAGACACCCAGCAGAGGGACGGCTGGGTCAAATGGAACCTCCAGTCCAAGCTCTTTGAGGTATCTCCATATTGATTTCCATAGTGGTTGCACCAGTCTGCACTCCCACCAACAGTGGAGAAGGGTTCCTTTCTCCCCACAACCCCGCCAACATTTGCTATTGTGTGATTTCTTAATAGCAGCCATTCTTTGTGGGGTGAGGTGGAATCTCAGTGTTGTTTTCATCTGCATCTCTCGAATGACCAGTGATGTGGAACACTTTTTCATATATTTACTTGCTGCTTTTACTTCTTTGTCTGAGAAATGTCTGTTCATTTCAAATGCCCATTTTTGAATTGGGTCTTTATATTTTGGGGGGCTGATTGTTTTGAGTTCTTTATATATTTAGATAATAGTCCTTTGTATGAGGAGCAGCTGGTAAAATTTTTTCCCATACTGTAGGTTGTCTCTTAGTTCTGTTGATGCTTTCTTTTGCAGTACAGAAACTTTTTTTTTTAATTGAGTTTATTGGTACAATCTAGGTATACAATACAGTTACATTCATCATTGGGATTCTGTACCTTTACATAATAGGTCTTGATTCTCATTTTTTCCCCTTGTCCCTGCCCTCCCTTCACCCCCTCCACCCCTCCCCATTTACACTTTATTTCCATTTTTTCAGTTTCTCATATTTTTTTTCCTCTCCCTTACTACCTTTCCCCCACCCTTCCCACTTTCTCTACACCTTTAGCCCTTTACTTCCTATTTCACATTA